AAACCTCTAAATAGGTACCTCAACAAGCTAGCACTGAACAAGCAATTTTGCATCTTCTTTGGATAGAAGAAGCAAGTTTCTTGTTTGTTCTCAGGTTCTTCAAATGCAGATTAAATATGAGCCTGAAGACAGCGAGACAGTCAGTTGCCTCTGAAAAGCCAGACAAAGTTGTTAAGATGAACTGGGAGTTTGATTCTGGGAAGGCCTGGTTTCATGATGAAGGGAAGGGGCCAACTGCCAGCAGTCTGAGTGCCCTATAGACAAAATTTACAGGAAAATACACATTTGAATTTCACTTCATCAGTTAAGTTTTTGCTCTTGAAATGAGGCATGTTAATGATTATTGTATGAATTAAACCAGTAATGGTATCCTAGGAGCTTGGAAAGCTTAACTGTTGGTCATGTTAAAAGGTTACGCTTAAAGAACTGCAAGTTAATCTGAAGTGATAAGAATGTGCTTACATCTCATTCAAAAAAAATTAACAGATGGGGTTCCGAGTGTTTCTAGAATTGTAAACCACAACTCTGATAATACTGTTGATTTCCGTAATATATCTGAGATATTTCCAATGTACAGGTTTTATATATTAAATAGCCAAGGACAAAGCTTATGCAGAAGACAGATATAAATTTAGTTTGCCTTTCTTGCGCTTTAGCTTCTCTGCTACCAGTTTCTTCAGATAAAGGGAGGGGGCCTTCACAGTCTTACAAAACATTAAAGCACTAGAAAATTTGGCTTGTGTAAAATCACACTGAAAAAGCTATAGTTAGTGTGTGGAAGACATTTATTGTAAACATAATGTCTGTAGTGGAAAGGTGTTAATTTGAAAAAATACCGGTTCTGACCGTGAAAGCAAAAGGCAATGTACAGATTGTAAGTTTAGTACAGAAAAGGGAGATTTTCCTTTTTTTTTCAATCTTTTATCTCAGCAGAAATTACATCAGTGGATATGTTCACCACACCTCCATGAAAGTTCTTTTCATATTTGAACTTTACATCCCTCTGCTTAGATTCATTTCAGATAATTGCAGTATTTTTTAGATATGGTGCTTAAAGATTATTTTGTAAAACTACTGGTTCTGTCAATCAATCAGTAGTATTTCTTTTTTCACAAACGTCAAATATATTTGAACTCCTACATTTTCTTTAAAATAAAGGTTTTTAAGTAATGTCGAAAATAATTACTCTCATCTCACACTGCTCAGTAACTGATTCAACATAAAAATAAATTATATTTCTCATAGTTTGCTTAACACACATTTGCATCAGTCCTGAACAGTGTTTTTCTAGGTACTAAAGGTAAAGACCACAGGTTCTGCTGCCCATCCCCATTGAGACTTTCCCTTATACTCAAGAGATTCCATGCACAAAGCTTATGCCTGTCCCCTAATCCAAGACTTCGTTACATATTCAAACTGAATGTGGTAGGGTTCTCAAAAAGGGTAACGAATGGGAAGTTTAAAGAGCTCCCTCCCTAACAAGAGAATCTCAATAGAGGTTTCTGTGCTGAGGGACCACAGTCCCACCAAAGCACAAGGTGGTGCCCAGCTGTTGCTCTAGCTGTGAGGCCAGGCAGCATCATGCAGAGGGAGATTTTCGAATGATTGATAGTGAGTGGAGCTTCAGTGCCTAATTGATGTTTATACCTTTGTGAAGAAAAATCCCCTGCTGTCAGCATTGTCGACAACCTGGCTCAATTTTCTCTTTTCACAACAGTAGCAAAAATGCTGCTGATGCACGTGAGGGAATCCTGTCTAGCAAAAATGATGCATAGGAAACTCAGGCAGTCCCTCAGTGTGCCGGCAATGATCCAGTTTGACCTATTGACAATCACGAGTAAAGGCTGTAATGTCCTGCTAATGGATTGTTCTCTACAGAACACTTTCCTAGCTTTGTTGCTTACAGTGACCACTCCTTTGCTGATCTGCAAAAGGTGGTATTGTGCTGCAGTGTATCAGCACTCGGCACCTTTGGAAGCTGTGCCTGTGGAAATCATTCTGAGGATCGATTACTCCCAGGAGAATTAAATCAGGATCTGATCCCACCGTGCCCCGCATGCCCTTGGCTCCCAACGTGGGAGACGCTCAGTGACAGGTAAAACTAGGAGATCTCAAGGCTTGCTTCTGGTCTTGCAAAAATCAACCACAGAAATTCAAATGCCTTGTGTGGTGAAAGATCAGAGTCTCCCTGGGAAGAAGAGGTTATGAAAGAGCAAACCTGTGATATCATTGCACAAAAGATCACTCAATGCCACTGAATAACATGAAAATTCACCAGAAATTTTTTTCAGGCTTACACACAAAATAATTTTACACAGAGAATGCTATAATGATGGCTAATAGTGTATCTCCAAAATACCATGTAAAATACATAAGGCTGAGATCAACGGTGAAAAAAAGCACTGAAATGACAGCCTTTCAGTTCAAACAAAGCATAGCATTAAAATTCTGGTGGGTGAGTTTGGAAACAAAAATGGTCAGCTTCTGACTGATGGAGTCACCTCCCTGGCTGAGTGTCAAAATAGGTCAATAGAGCTTTCTTTTCAAAATAGCTAGAAATAAATGGAAACCTTGCTGTGTTCCAGCCTAGATCAGTAGGAAAAGAGATGTTCTCGCTGATATGCAACTTTTATATTTGTTACATGATACTCAGTGATATTAAATAACAGTTGGCAAGTTTTCAGCAAAATACTTTTGTCCTCGCAGATGGCACCACCTCTTACATGCTTGCACCTTAAACCTTACAGCCCAGCGATGTAAAACACTGCAGCACCTCAAGGTTCAGCTTAGCCAAGCGTGGCAAGGTCAGTCGTCAGAGCAGGAGGAAGGCAAAGGAGGAAGGTGGGGGTGGAGACGGCAGCCTGACCATAACTCGAGCCATGAGGGCTCAGTTTCTAATGGCAACAATCTCAAAAGCTTCTCTGTGTACAGCTTCATAATTAAGTGTTAAATAAAAGTGCTGTGCTGTGAACAGTGCATCCTCTCTTACAAATTCTGACTTCATCTTCAGACCTGGTAGTCTATTAAATCAGTCTGAAAATTCCTAACACTTAAACACGGACTGTAAAATTAAGACATGGTCCAGATCTCAAACTGTTAAACACAGTTATTTCCCTCACCAAGTAGGGCTTGTGATCACTGTGTTCCTACTACTTGGAACCACATTTCCATATTAATACATTGCTACAACATCTTCTAAATGCATGTCTAGCTTCATTGTAAAAACTGAGACAAACTTGATCAGAATAATAGATTACAATCACAGGATGTGTGCACAGAAAGGTGTAAGTGGAACGAAGGTCAAGGAAGAAGTGTAATTTCTTTTTAAAACTTACAGCAGAGTTTTTCTCAGACATGAAAAATAATCCTTTTAAAAGCAGGCTCTCGGTGACACAACAAATCTGCAACAAAGCAAGGCTACCAGCAAAACTGATTATTTTTAAAGGAAAGACAGAACTCATAGTATTGAACTAAAAAGTAATGCCCTAAACCATGTAAATGACAACATATTATTCATCAGAATGCTTTTATTATTACATTAGTACAAACATATTTGCTGCGCTTCCAAACATTGGCGGGAATGTTGACATGTTTACATCAGTGTAACAGGGATTTGTGTATTTTCCATACACCAAACTATTATTTTTCAAACAGTGCAGGAACAGGAAACAGGAAAGCAGACACCTGAAAACATGGTTGATCTACTATCTGGTTTATAGCTATGACTATTTTTGTGGATTTGGAAAGAATTATAAATAATCCACAACAGAGTGACTTTTCAACATTTAATATGGGATTCCACCACGTTACAGATACTACCCAAACTTTTCTGTGCATGCTCTGGACACATATATTTCAGTGTTGGGTGGATTAGTGTACTAAATGACGCGTGGTTCAAGGAGAGGTTAAAGCAGAGGTTACTTCTGCAATTTGAATTCCTCAAATATAGGTCTACCCATGGTGCCCTATAGTACCGTATCCAGTATCTCAGGTAACGGCTCTCCCTTTCCCTTTTGTGTGTGTGCCTCCATGTATGGTGGTAATGAAGGAAAGAGGAGAGGAAGAAAATAAGGTTGGGCTCCGCACGTCTTCCACGACTCTCCTGGAGACCTAAGGCTTCTCCACAGCTAAAATAATGGGAATATTTTTCCTTTTCTTTTTGGGGAAAAAGACTAACATTAATTAAACAAGGCAGCTTTTCCCATTCAGCGAGAGGCGTTCAATAGGAGAGCTTTGGCTTCTAGCCAATAGAGGGAAAAAAAAAGAAAACGAAAAAAGGAAAATCACCAAACCACCTCATGTCGCTACTAAATTAAGTATAGCTAATACTCTTATCTCCTTTTTTTTCTTTTTTTTTTTTTTTTTTCCTGGTTAAATCGTCCCGTTGCCCAGGGGCGGCCCCTCGACCACCGCGAGGGGGATACGGTGCGGGAGTGCCGCCCTCCCCTGGCACCCCGGGTTTGGCGGGTCGGGGGAAGGAAAGCTTCGGCTTCCGCGGGACACGGCGCTACGGCTCCGCTCCGCTCCCCTGGGCGGACGCTTGCCCTCCCTTCTCTCCCAGTGGCACGACCCTCGCCTCGCCTCTCCCAGCGCAGGAGCCGCTTGTGAGCGCGGCCGCGCTGCCCGGGCAGCGCCTTTACCCGCCCCGCCCCCGGCGCGGCGCCCGCATATCAACGACCCGCCGGGCACCCTCCGCAGCTGCCGGGCCGGGGGCGCCCCGCCTAAGGGTTGCCGCGGCAACGGCGGGGGGGAGGGGGGGGGTGGTGGCGGCCCTGCCCTGTCTTCCTTTCCCTTCCCTGCCCTGCCCTGCCCTGCCCTGCCTTCCCTGCCCTGCCCTGCCCTGCCCTGCTCTGCCCTGCTCTGTGTGGCTCTGGGAGCAGCGTAGCCTGTCAGTCTGAGTATGCTCATCTCCCCACTGCCCGCAGTGCCCGTCGGCACTTGCAGCCCCTGGCAGTGCTCACACATCGGGGAGCAGCAGGATGCCCCCGGATGGCACTCCCATTTCTGTGCCCCTTTTAGGTTAAAGCGATGGAGACATCGCTGCCGCTTCGCTCTGCCGAATGCTGGTAAGCGCCCCCTTTCACTAATGCGGCAGGAGGGCTGACACAAAAATCATATCTCCAGAGGTTTCCGCACTGTCTCGTCGCCCTTCCCTGGCTCACTCGGGTTAGCTGAGGGCTCCACACGCTAAGGCAGCTGAGCTGCTCTTTCGGCTGAAAACCGTGGGCAGCTGTGCCTGGGTGCTGATGATCCCAGGTTGAGCCCTTGCCGATGACTCACTTTGTGTGGACATCTGCTCGGGGAGCTGCTGCGCTCCCTCCTGTGACCTGGAGCTGGATTTCCATACTGACGTTTTTCAGCTCCAGACAGAGTTGTATTTAGAAACAATTTTCTGCTGGGAAGAGTTAAATTGCCGACTTTATACAGTTATATAATATTTTCTGGGTTTTGTGTTGGTTTGGCTTTTTTCCCCTTTAAGATTTGTCATCATAGGCCAAAAATAAAGCAGAAGAGAGCAGAAAAATATCTGGGCTGAACTGCACCATGAGATCATTCGTGGGGATAGGTTTTGATTTGTTAAGCTATTTAAAATGAAATTGGAGAGAAAAAAGAGGATAAGAGATTAAACTACTTTTTGAAAACTTAAAAGTCAGCAAAAATGAGACTTAAATAGAATAAATTAATTTCATTAGGAATTGTGGTACTGTAAAAGCAATAAGCAGTTTAGTCTAAGAGGGAGCTATGTACCTTTCAAAAGAATCGTGTTATGTACATGCACTCATAAATTAAAGTGAAGTCCCGGCACTCAGAAGAGTGGCACTGCTTTCCTGTGTGCTTTCATTGTATCTTACGACTTAGTGTATCACGTCATTTAAATTATGTAATGCAAAAAGAACCCCCAAATACTAATTCTCTTGAGAGATTGCTGTTTATTTAAATATGTGATCCCAGGCATTAAAGAGGGTGATACTGGCTAATCCTCACTGTCTGATTTCCTAGATAAATGATTTTAGGCATCATTTATATTTAAAAAGATGGCACTCTCAACTGGCTTTCTGGTTTTACTTAGCACTGTATTGCTTTTGTACTTAACAAGGTTGCTATTGTACAAAATGAATGAAAAATGACAAAAAGAAAAGACTGAAAAAGAGCACTGGGAATTTTAAAAGACTTTCAGTTTGGCATTGCCATTTTTCTCTTTCACTGTATTCTCTCCAAAACTGCTACTGCAGGTAAACCAGATTGTGCAGGTGGAGGTGACGTTTGGGAAGACGTGCTGCTATAGTAAGTCACCTGTAAAACAAAATTATCTTTGATGTTTAGATAAATGCAGTTGTTCTTATTATTTTCTTTGTTTATGGCATTATCTGAAGTGTAGCTTGGAATATGCAGCTAAGAGTTAAGCATGTTTGAAAGAAACACTAAGTACTTAGTATTCCATGAAGCTGGGATAGTGTTCCTTTGTGAGAACAGGTACTTGTTAAAAGCACCTCTTTTATTGTCAAACAAATTGTCAGGAGCCAGTGCCTGCAATTTTTTTTCGTGACACTCTGTAAAAAGGGAATATTACCTTGGGGATTTACAGGAGCATGTGTGGGTATGGTGGGGAAGCAGGAGCACTTTCTGGAGAAGAAGTTTCAGAGAAACTCAGAGAAGGTCCAGACATGATGCTCATGGGTCATAAGAGAAACAGAACTGAGAAAGAATCCAGAAGCCTTACCAGAGACTTACTGCTTATCCCCAACATTTAAAAATGGGGTTTAAAGTCTGAGAAATAAGTACAAAAATTGATGAGATTCCCAAGGTATTTGAGAGTCCCTTTAATGTTTCCACTCTAAAAGGGGGTTAGTTCTTTTTTCTGCACATTGCATTTCAAAGGTAGTCCCCTGGGGTGAGGTTCAGCTTTGTCTTCAAGTGCAGAAATTTTGCTATGAGAATGTGAGTGAGGTATCTTAACTTTCCATTGCAGACAGTGGAGGTGGGATTCAGCTTCTTCCACAGGAGCCATTTGAGCCTTGTGCTTTCATATGTTGAAAGGGGGCCTTTGGATACAGGACCGTGTGACATCTGGAGAGATGACTGGGGGCCGGGCAGGGTTAGCCAAGACAACTCAAATGGCAGAAGATGCCTATTCAGGCAACTGAAGCTAACCCAATATGCTCAAAGGAGTTTACACCCTAAAGTAGGTACTTTGGTCAGCTAAGTCAGTGTGCTCCACTTGTCTACAGACAAGACCTGTAGTGACTTGGACACCTAGCTCGCACCCAGGTGTCTATGCTGGTGACCTTAAATTCAGGTGTTGAATTCTATCCTTGCAGACCTAAAAACTTGTGGACAGCTTTGTGTGAGACAGATGTACGGCACTGTCAGTTATCACATGGGACTCCTAAGTAAGACCCACATGTTTTGGAGTGGCAGCCAGTTTGTGCATTCAGCTTGTCTGAAGCTCATTTTCTGTGAAAACTCACTTCTGAAATCTCAATTCTTCAATCATTTTCTGAGAAAACACCTCTCTTTTTTTGTTTCCCTTTTTCCATCCATGAAGAAGTTTTATATACAGCCTCAATCTTTTCTAAAAATTCAAAGCTGTCTAGGCCTAAGTATGACAGAAATAAAACAAAGACCTTTCTTTTAGAGAATCTTTGTTGCTATAGAAAGCAGACCCTTGTGAATGGATAAAAAGGGTGGGGAAGGGAACCTGGGTGCCATTTAAGTAACTGAAAAGTATGAGTGGCTGAAAACTTGCTGTTCTGTAAAATTAAATTTGATCCAAACCTTTACAAGATGGAGGGCTGACAGCATTCAGCGTGAGTGGTTTCATTCAGGAAAGGACTGGAAGTGAAGAAGAGTGAAGGAAAACCAGTGAGAGTAACAGCAAAATAAACAAGTATACAAACTCTGGGAAAAAGAATAAGCAAACACGCTTTTCTAAGAAGTCAACACAGGGAAAGAAAATCTGGTACATTTAAGACACATCTCTCAGAGACTATTCACTATTGAGCTTAACATTAATTTGAATAGAAGGGTGGGAGAAGACCCATCCATAGTTGCAGAGATCTACTACCACTTCTTTATGACGTTTCCTTATTTCCATTCGCTCAGAGAAACAGTTATCTCCAAAATTTCTTATTCGTTCCATGTTTTTTTCTTCTGGAAATGGAAAAACTTCCTCTGCCTTCAGAGGACTTCTTTTATGTGACAGAAATTCGGATCATCTTTTTATTTTTTTCAGTATTTTATGAGAAGCTTGTCAGGCTTCAGAGATTCTGTAAGTTTTAGGGCTGAGAGAAGCAACTCAACCTTATGCTCTTGTGGCAAGAGAGAATGTGCTTTTCTTGGTGCAGTTTTTAAGCCAGCCACTTGACCATCCTCCAACCTTTTCACTTTTTCACATCAATATGAGCTTGAAATCTCAGCTGTCATAGATATCACACAGGGCTGAAGGCAATAAAAGAGCTAAAGCATCTACAGCAGGACTTAAGTGGAGTTGCAGTGCCTGAGCCCAAATTGGTGATCCAAAAGCCAGCTGTTAATCTGCTGCCTAGCTTGATAAGATGCTCTCTTGTAGGACTGTGAAGTTTGCAAGACACTAACCGCCAAATTAAAGAATTCAGTACTTTTCCCTTGTCTAAAATAAAGGGAAGGTTGGGAAAGCAAGCTATGCTCCATCTACAAATGCTTGAGGGACCCAATATGTTAGATATTTTTGGTGCATGCCTAATGGCTTAGACTTTAAAAAAATGCAGTAGGTGCTTTCCCTTGAAACACAGCTGAGGAGGAGGCAGAAGTGCTTCTGTGCCAAATACACATACATGTGTGCATGCACACAAGATACATCACCAAATCATAGAATCATAGAATCATAGAATCAGTTGGGTTGGAAAAGACCTCCGAGATCATCGAGTCCAACCCTTGGTCCAAATCCAGTCCATTTACTAGATCATGGCACTCAGTGCCACGTCCAATCTGCGTTTAAAAATCTCCAGGGCTGGTGAATCCACCACCTCTCTGGGCAGCCCATTCCAATGCCTGATCACTCTCTCTGTAAAGAATTTTCTCCTGATATCCAACTTAAATTTCCCCTGGCGGAGCTTAAGCCCGTGCCCCCCTATTGCTGAGTGCCTGAGAGAAGAGACCAACCCCCCCCTGGCTAGAACTTCCCTTCAGGTAGTTATAGACGGTGATGAGGTCACCTCTGAGCCTCCTCTTCTCCAGGCTAAACAACCCCAGCTCCCTCAGCCTCTCCCCATAGGACTTATGCTCCAGTCCCTTCACCAGCCTTGTTGCTCTTCTCTGGACCCGCTCCAGCACCTCAATATCCTTTCTGAACTGAGGGGCCCAGAACTGAACACAATACTCAAGGTGTGGCCTCACCAACGCAGAGTACAGGGGAAGGATCACTTCCCTGCTCCTGCTGGCCACGCTATTTTTGATACAGGACAAGATCCCATTGGCCTTCTTGGCCACCTGGGCACACTGTTGGCTCATGTTGAGCTTCCTGTCAATTAGTACCCCCAGGTCCCTTTCTGCCTGGCTGCTTTCCAGCCACTCTGTGCCCAGCCTGTAGCGCTGCAGGGGGTTGTTGTGGCCAAAGTGCAGGACCCGGCACTTGGCTTTATTGAACTTCATCCCTTGGAATCAGCCCATCTCTCAGTCTATCCAGATCCCTCTGCAGAGCCCTCCTGCCTTCCAGCAGGTCGACACTCCCTCCCAGTTTGGTGTCATCAGCAAATTTGCTGATGATGGACTCAATCCCCTCATCTAAATCATCAATAAAGATGTTAAACAGGACTGGACCCAACACAGACCCCTGGGGAACACCACTGGTGACCGGCTGCCAGCTGGATGCAGCTCCATTCACCAGCACTCTCTGGGCCCGACCCTCCAGCCAGCTCCTAATCCAGGAGAGGGTACACTTGTCCAAGCCATGGGCTACCAGCTTTTCCAGGAGTATATTATGGGAGACAGTGTCAAAGGCCTTGCTGAAGTCTAGATAGACCACATCCACAGCCTTCCCCTCATCCACCAAATCTTCAGGGCATTGTCACCCCCAGAAACAGGGAGTGTAACAGCCTGAAAAATTCAATGGATGTTGACTGCCTTTCACTCATTTAATAGTTTCTTTTAGAAGCAGGGACTGAAGCCTACAGATGCCACTTCCTGCTAATCACCGTAGCCCACGAATTATAATGTCATGATCTATCAGTGTTCTCCTCTGCTTTGCTGTACAGAAGGATGGGAAGTCCACCCATTCTAGTTAGTTATGTGGCTGATTATTGGGACCCTTATTTGTCAGGTGGGACATGAGAGTTGCATTGTTTGCTGGGAGGACCTGGAACCTGAACCTTCCAATTGAGAGGCCTTATGTTAAAAGTGGATGTTGGCATCACTTCTGGATACCACCACCACCAAAACAAAACTCCAGACAAACACATGAGTTCTGTTACATTTCTTCAAGAAACAATCAGAATACCATGTCTTCAAAAGATAGAGGAACTTTTCTATAGTCCTGACTAGTATAAGTTCTATATAGGGATGGGTGTAAGGTAGGCTCATGTTGTCAGTATTTGTTACTCCTTGGCTCTCGGTAGCTCCTCACTCAGTGTGCTGGCTGTCTCAGAATATCGTTGAGAAATTCCTAAGGATTCTTGTTGGTAGAGTAGTTTGCCATAGATTTTTAAAGGCAAAAGCACCGACATGCTGCATCTAAGCATGAAAGGACCACATTTTTACCTACTTCTTAAACTGTTTTTGTTAGAAATGTTGCCCTAGATTTTCCTCTTCCAGCTCATACTGCTCTCCTTCATATCAACGAAAGGAGATATTTCTTTGACCAGGCTTGATCCTTTCACAGATGTCCAGTCATCTTTCATTGCCATGTGACTTTGTGATAAGCTTTAATCATCTTACCAGGTGGTCGACTGTTTGGTTACCAGTTCTACTTGGGTGGGCTGGGCATGTCATGTGTATCTGAACAAGAAATTATCAAGGGGTAACAGTTCTCCATTGTTAGCCCTATAGCAGTTCAAGCTGGAAGTAAAACATCAGGAGGAGCACAGACCAACCTCATAATCAAAATGTTTGTAGAGAGACATAAAAAAAGAAAAATGCTTATTAATTGCCCACTGCTTGGTAATTGCCTGTAAAATCGTAGTATCTTTTCATCTGATTAAGTGTTGTTTTCTCTCTCTGAGGAATCTACCTTTATGAAAATTTTCTACTATATATTCTGAAATGGCATTTTCTTCTTTATTGCTTTAGAAATTTGAATATGAACTTAGCCA